TATTCTGTGGCAGGGGATGCCATGAAAGTAAAGATACTTCCTTTGCTGGTCTATTGAGCAAGAGAAATTTCAAGGGACAAGACTGATAACCAAAGGTCTACTTCTTTTCTTTTCTTTTTTTTTTTAAACACATTTATTTATTTTTGAGAGAGTGCGTGCATGTACAAGTGGGGGGAGGGGCAGAGGGAGAAGCAGGCTCTGAGCCTGATGTGGGACTCCATCCCAGGTCCCTGGGATCGTGACCTGGGCTGAAGGCAGATGCTTAACTGACTGAGCCACTCAGGCACCCTGAAAGGTTTATTAATGTTTACTTGGGCCTTCAGGATTTTCCATCCTTTGGAAAACCACACAGTGATACCAATTCCTACAACACTGAAGACCTTCAGATGGTAGTAAGGTGAGAAAAAAAATTCCACATGCCAACCAAATATCTAGTGGTTGGCCCTGGAAGGCTACATTCTTTATAAACCAATTTGATAGCTCTTCTGATGAAAACACTGAGGAAAGAGTTCTAACTAGACCCAGAGCCCGAATCTGGGTCTAGTTAGTGAGATACAAAAGTGGAGTATTTCACCAACCCCAGGCAGGTTAGGCATCAGGCAAAATTCTGTGGGATGCTCCAGAACACTGTTTGCATCAGCTGAGTATTATGAGAGCCTCCTGATTGGGGGGGGGGGGGTGGCAGTCTCTACTTCTGGGCTGGAGGCAGACTACTCCTCCCAGCCCACCATGCTCCCTACCTCCCAATAGTTCTTCAACTCGACTATACACCCTTGAGTGAATCGCATAACCCCTGGGTTTTTCTGTCAACTTTAAACTTAAAGGACTAGACCGGATAATCCCTAAAATCCTGTGGATCTACAAAGGGTTCCTGGACATCAGAGAGCAGCATTTGAGGGGGACACGGTGGAAATGTCCTACCTACGTTCCCAGGTACTTTACTCCAATTGAGCTTTGTTCAAAGGGAGGCTTAGCCTACTTTGATCTATTCTGTATGGAGATCTTGCAGAAACATGAGCTAGGTCACAGCCCGAATCTGGGTTAGCTATAAATGTGACACAGAGTTGTCAGCTGCGTGAAATGGTGCTGCAGCTCAAACACCATTATCCCACACATCAGTGCAAGGAAGCACAAGCTGAAATGTGAAAATACGCTCAGCAGGGAGGTTCAAGAAACTGGGAAAGGCCACCAGAGGCCTTCTAAGTTCCACTCTGGGAGACCAGCTCAGTGGAATTTTGGATAGCTTCTTGGGGCCTCTTCACAGTTTAAGAAGTCCTTAGGTCAGTAACTCCCCATCTGGAACACAGAATAAACTATATGTGGCACAACCTAGCTTCTGAAGAGGAATGAAATAATATGAAAAGGTTTTTTATAGCTTTCTAGTGGGGCACCCCAGTGTCACCAAATAACTCTCTTCTCACTGCCCTTGTAATACTTTTTGTATTGCCTGTAATATGCAAAGGACAGTATAAAATAGATGAAAAGATATTCAGACAAGCTTGGGAGGAAAAAGGGCCAAGTGCTATCCACGAAGGCCATTATTCTAATGGCCACCAAAGGTTAGATTAGCCAGCATCGGAATCACCTGGGAAGTTATGAAAAATTAGGGCCCGACTCGGGGTGGAAGTTTCAGGAGCTAAGTCTAGACAAGAAAATGGACACCTGTGCTGTGTGTGTGTTTGTTTTTGAACGTCCTAGCTTGTTCTTAGGCACAGACCAGCCTGGAAACCACAGTTTGGGACCACTCCCATGAAGAATTCCATTCTCCAATTTCTTACCGAGATCCGGCTTGCCTGTGTAGAGCTTTTCATAGAGAAAGGTGTGGTCTCGGAAACTTTGCAGGGTGTTTCCTACGGCTATGATGGACACCATAACCAGCCAGCTTCGTAACACGTTCAAGAAACGGCTCATGACTTCCCTCCAACCCTACAGGGCTTTTTGCCTTGGGAACAAAGGCAAAAAAACAGGAGACAGCAGTTAGCTTACTCAACCATAAGCTCCCTGGCTTGGGTAGTTAACTTGTGCCCCACTCCCGGAGGCTACACGAAGCTTATCTTGGGAATCACTTCGTTAGTTCCTTTCCCAGTCCCTGAAGTTGCCCACACCCTGTTATCTTCCTGTACTATTCTTACTTCACAAGGTTCGCAAGCTGCCTGGACATCTACCCTAAACCCAAGGGTGCTAACCTTTACCAAGAGTGACACAGGCTAAATGCAGGGCCTAGAAATGGTAAGCCAAGCAAAAATAACGGAGAAAAAAGGGAACAAAGAGAAGGTGTACAGATATGACTATCAGGTAATAAAATGGCCTTCTGTGTAAGAGTCATAGAAACCGGTCTTGTTATTTATTTACTCTCACTGCTCGTGGTGAATGAACAGGATACTTTGCAGTAAATGGCACAGTACTTACTTTTGTCTAAGCAACTTCTCCACAGTGTTAGCCTAAATCAGAACCCTTTTCTCTTGGCTGGAATCAGTCTTTTAATATCTTTACTTCTAGCCCAGTTTTTTTGTTTGTTTGTTTGTTTGTTTTATGTAATTCCCTTGTAATCCAAGTGGCTCACTTAGATCTACCAACAGATACCTGCCTGGCTATTGATGACAGAACCTTCGAAGCTCACAAAAGCCACACACATTTGAGTGGTATCTATGGAGTGAAGGCAATATGTACACTCTTGGGTATTCTCTACTCTGGTTCTCAGGTAATTCGTGCTCCATAAGCTAGAATGATATAAAAGTTAAATGAACTGCTGTGACTTGAGAACTAGCATGAAAATTATGTGGAGGAGGACCAACAATGTTGGTGTTGCGTTGCAAGAGAAATTAAGATAGCTAACAGGTAGTGGGCACTTGTATGTGTCACGCACTGTGCAAGCACCTAACATAAAGTATCTCATTTAATCTCTAAACAAGGTGGATAGGCACTATCACTATTTCCATTTGACAGATGAGGGCTGGCACAGAGAAATCAAGTGATTTGCTTGAGGTTACACAGCTAACAACATGGCAGAGCTAAGAATCCTGCTCTGCAATACTGCCTGAGAATATTTTGATGAAGTTTCTATTTTTAAGGAAGGCAAGCACACTGTATCCACTTCTGTCTTGAAGTTGTATACAAAATATAATTACATTATTTACTTTTTGTTTAATAAAAAAAGCTTAGATAAACCCTTGAAGAGCAATGATTTCAATCAACTTGATTTATTTTTTAAAAGATTTTACTTATTCATTTGAGAGGGAGAGGGAGAAGCAGGTTCCCCACCGAGCAGAGAGCCCGATGTGGGGCTCAATCCCAGGACTCTGAGATCATGACCTGAGCCAAAGGCAGGCATTTAACCAACTGAGCCATTCAGGGGCCCCTTAATCAACTTGATTTAAATAAAACTCATGTAGATAAAGAATCCAATAATACAACTACTTCTTCTCATCTTCACTGTAGTGTTGTAGTCTGTGTTTTTTGGGTTTTGAGGTTTTTTTTTTTTGTTTGTTTGTTTGTTTGTTTCTTTTTTTGGCTGTCTTTTGTTTTTTCCAAAGTTTATCTGTTGTCAGGTTGACTTCTTGGGCCTGAAGTGGTGATAAACCATCAGGCTTCCTTTGACACTCTGACAGAAGTTTCAGTATGGTCTTATGCTACCCAGCTGAAATAAATGTGAAAGTCAGCCATGACCTAAGACAATGTGAAGCACTAAAAAGAAAGAACAAACAAAAAAGAGCTCTAGAGGAGGAAGCAAAATCCCTCAGGGAATGGTAGATTGCAACAATGGATGTTATTGAAGTCCAGGGAGAATAGAGTTTTACTGGCAATCAGAAGCGGTCAGAGCATGGGCCAAGATCCCCTGATCCTCCTTATTTTTCCCCATTTCTCAACAGGTGACTCAGGCTTTGTCCTCCCAGGGTCAGAAAAGCCATGTGGATGGCTCCCCTCTTTGAGAGAACTTACGCCCATTTCACGGAAGCTCTTAGAAATCCCAACAGATAGCTGATGAGGGCAAAGCCAGAGCACTCTTCGGAACTGCTCTACCAAATCCCTCAACCCCATTTCCCTAAAGCTTTAGGGCCTCCTAAAGTATCTAACATCTGTTCTCAAATTTTGTCCTGGCCTGGTCCAGCAAAGATGTGGTGTTAAAACTAGTCAGGAGGGAGGTTCCCATCGTTCCACAATCATTTTGTAGCTGTACGACCCTAGGTGAGAAATCTGCAAAACGGAGCTTTAAAAATACCTATCACAAGGGTTACTGTGGGAATTACAAGAGAAAGTGAAAAGGTTCCTTGCTTGCCCTGCGCTAGGCTCCGAGTGGCTGGTCATTCGTTCATTCATTCTTTGGTTCCCCGAACCTACCAAGCCTTCTTCATCTTCATAGTCCCAGCTCCCCCTTGTCAAGGTCTCTTGAACCCCTTGGTCCCCCCAAAAAGGTTGCTATCAGCGATCTTCCATCCATCTCACCTCCATTTTTCCAGACTCTCTCTATGCGCTCAATTAGATGCCGCAAAAACGCCTCCCTCCCTCTTCTCCCAACACTCTCGGTACCTGGTGACCGGACCCCCAGCACAGCAGCGGCAGCACCAGCAGGAGCAGCGGCAGCAGCAGCAGTGAGAACAGCAGCAGCAAAGCCCTGAAGCACATCTAGCGAGGAGTCCACCTGAGCCATTTGTCCTCGCCCCCGCCCACAGCCCGGCTCCAGGATTGGGTTGTTTCCGTCAGTCCTCGCTCTGATTGGCTGCTCCGGTTTTGCTCGAGCAGGAGATGGGGCGTGAATCCCTTTACTGCCAATCAGTGGTTGCCGCTGCCCAAGCTTCACCCAGGTACCGCCGCTCACGCAGCGAACCCTCCTGCTGAGCGTGGCGGAAGAACTCCGGGGCTGGAGTCTACCCATTAGGAGTGGAGGGAAAGAGAGCAGAAAAAAAGAAGTCTAGACTTCTACCGAGAGCAAAGCTCTGCGCCCGCGCAGCGCGGCGGTGACGACATTCCTTCGCGCCCGAAGCCGAGCGTTGTCAGCGCGGGGAGGCGGGCGCCTGCGCAGTGGCTCCGAGCGGGCGGTTGCTTGTTGGTTGTTGTAGTAACGGGGGAAGCAGCCGTCGGCGGCTGCAGTGAGCCGGGCTGGGGAAGGAGGAGGGTGGTAGGCGCAGAGCGCGGTCCCCGCCGGCCCTCCCGGAGCCATGGGAAGATGAGACAGGTAAACGCCTGCGCCTGCGCGCTCCCCTACGCGAGGGAGGTGAGCTCCCGAGCCTGGGCGGGCGCCGGCGGCTACACTTCCCTCTCGGAGCCCGGGAGTAGCTGTTGGCTTCCGGGCGCACTGGGCTGAATCGCTGCGGTGGAGTCATCCCTGTCCTTCCCTTGGGGAGCATCTGAGGATCTACCCGGGATTGGGGTGAGCCGGGGGTGGGGCCGAGGGGCTGATCCTTTAGGACGAAGACGATTCTTGGGCGAGTGTCCTTAATCTTCTTCCGATCTCCGTGTCTCTACTCTGCTGGCAGCCTGGGACAGGTTTGTCATCTCTTCCTCGCTTGGAGGTTTTGCTTGTTTTGTTTTAATTTAAAGGACTTTCCAACATTTTGGGAAAGATCTAGAAATCCCGTCGGGAGTCCTCGGAAGAACGCGTTTGAAGTTATTAGATACTGCCCATTCCGCTGAAGATCTGTAGGGATCGTCATCGGGATCGGCGGTTTTTTGGTCCCGATTACGGTCTTACCATATTTTGAATGTATAACAAAATAAGATTTGCAGAGATAGACATCAGATCGTTATCTCTGAGTAACAGGATTATGGTCATTTAAACTTGTTCATTTTCTTTATCTGTAACTTCGATTTCATCCTTAAACACACAACACACTTGTACTTTTTACATATGCAAAAATATTTTAAGTTAGAAATATCCTATTCTAATGTCTATTTGAGATTCAAATCAGAGTTTGTGATTTTTAGTAAGGGAGAATAATTTTTGAGAGTGGAAGGACGAGTTTTTGTTTGTTTTTTGTTTTTTTCCCCAGCTACTTAATCACTTTGATTGAGGAGAATATATTAATCTTTTAGTTTAGTGGTTGAATTTATTTTAGTGAAATATGAAGGCATTTCAGCTGTGTGCTTGTCCTAGTGTCTAAAGAAATATTCAAGGGTAGTAAATCTTGAGTTTTTATTTTTAACCCAAGTCAAGCTTTTCTAGCAAGGAGTCTATGTTTTAGTCAGTCAGCCACCTATCTCAGACTTTCCTAGGAGCTAATTCTTGTTACGTTTAGTATATAAAAGAAAAATGAGAAACTTAATAACAGCTCTCAAACTTAACAAAAGCTCTTTAAATACATAGAGGACAGACAGTATGTTTGAAACAATCTTGATTTTTGTGGCATAAGTGAGGCATTGTGATAGAAGGTAAGCTTCTTACCTAAATGGACGCCATTTAGGTAAACATTCGTATTTATTACTTGGAAGATCAATAGCAATAATCAAATAGAAAATGCCATTGTTTTTCAAATCATTTGGCTTTCTTGCAGGAATCAGTGCCACCTAAATTGTTTGATCCGGTGAATCTGCAAGAAAAGGTCTCTGAGGCCCCCATCTGCTGACTGCATGACAAACCCTAAAGGAAATGCCAGTCGTGATGGCCCGGGACCTGGAGGAAACAGCATCATCCTCAGAGGATGAGGAGGTGGTAAGCCAAGAGTAAGTAAGAGCGAGCCTGCGTTTGACCCTTTGCCTTTAGGGTAGAAAATAATTCTCTTTTACTTATACCTTCTTTCACGCGGTCTCCTTCCTTTGGTGTAGTCAGACTCTGGTTTTAGTTTCTATCCACAGTCTAATCCAGGATTTTATGAGTTGGTCTCCATTAGTTATCTGAAATGAGAGAAGGCTCTGTTTCTGGGCTCATGAATGAACATTGGCCCTAGGTACTGCTCTTCGCGAACTCTTGATTGGAGCTCCTAACGTAGGAGATTTAAATTTTGTAGATACGAAGGCAAAGGAGGTCTCCAAACCCTGTGAGACAGGTTACGTTATTTTCTCAGAAACCTTTACAATGATAGAATGATAGTCTATAGAGAGGTTAAGTAACTTATCAGAGGAACTGTGGGACAGTACATTAGAATTCTGTAACCTCTGCTGTGCCGTTGAACCACATTGCTTTCCCGAGTTGTTAGGAAAGAGTCAGGTTTCTTGACTGCTGGCTTCTTGTAACAATAAAAATGAATGATGGGAATAAGTGTAGCTTATCATTTGGCATAGATGATGGTGAGGGCCTTAACTGATGTGTCTCATTTAATCTGAAGATGTTATTATTTCCACTTTAGTAAACTCAGCCTTAAAGATCAAAGAACTTTTTCAAGGATGCAGAGTGTGTGATGAATTGAGAATCAGACCCAGTTTTCGTGGATTTTGAGGCACTTTACTCTTTTGCCTCTGTTAGCATTATTCCTTGACACAGAGGAAAAAGAGAGAGTCTGACTTAAGTTTAAGATTAGTTTTTCAGTTTCTCTGTGAGTCCTCTTGGATATGTGTGTGCTATGTAACTTGAAAAGTCGGGGTAATATCTCTCAGGCTGTTTTGTAGGAGTATGGTTAGGATCAGATAGAATGATATGTATGAAATGACTTTTTAAATGAAGATGTGCCATACAAATGTTAAGGGATTATTCCTACTGGCTTTAATTTTGAATTTAAAGTGCATTTCTTTCTATAAAGTAGAAGATAACATTTAATGTAACTAGAAGAAATTATTGAAGCATTCATAAAGCTTTAGGAAAGGTTTCTCATCACTGTGAGGTCATAGAAAATAAAAGAGATTTAGCATTATATTTGGGTCATTCTTATTCAGGATAATTAAATAGATAATTCCCTGTGGTCGCTTTATCTTCTTGTGACTTTTTGCTTTCTGTGTGCTGCGTCTTACCTATTTCACAAAATTTTTAACTTCTACAAGCATCAGTCTAATTTCAAGATCATTCTTTTACTTCATGGCTGTTTCTTTTATTAGTGGGCTAATGAGTTGGGTCTGATGAGTATTAGGTTGAACTCCATGAAACTGGTGTTTTGGTAGGTTAAAAATAGTCAAATATTGACAATTCCAGACGACAGTGTCAGATTTTCAACCTAATATTGCAGTGTGTACTCGGTAAATAGTTCAACTGAGTAACCCACCGACTGAATGAATAAATGGAGACTTTCTGCTTTAGATCATCCTAGAGCATGGGGTTCTAAAGGTTTTTGGTGTCATGTAGTCCTTATCAGAATAATATTTTTAGGTGCTTAACATAAAATACACATCATTGCAAGTAGTACCTATTACCTTGAAATGCAGTTATTAAAATTAAAAAAAACTTCAAACTTGTGATATTGTAATATGTGCTCTTTGCATTAAACAAGATTACTCATTTAAAACCTGGGAAAGTTAGATTTTATTTTGTAAAGACAGCAGCCTTAAGATTGTTTTGCTCAGTTTGCATAAGCTCATCACCCTGTGGGTAGTTGGGGTAGTCTTTTTTTTTTTTTTTTTTTTTTCCCCAATTTATCTATCCATTTTAGAATTGGGGTGGGGGAGAGAGTCTCAAGCAGTTTCTGTGTTAAGTGCAGAGCCTGGCTCAGGGCTTGAGCTCACCACCCTGAGACCGTGTCTTAAAACTGAAACCAGGAGTGGGATGCTCAACCAACTGTGCCATCCAGGTGCCCCGACCCTGTGGGGGTAGTTGTAAGTGGGGAATATTGGGAAGCATCATAGGTGTCTGGACCGCCACTGTGATGTGTCACCATTTAGCAGCTGAATGGTTGCTTGGGAGGAGAGCTGCCAAATTGTTGTCCAGCCTCATCATGCCAGATGAGGAAGATCGTGACCACAGGGGATCTGGTGGCAAGTGTAATAACTACCATAACTTAGAGGTAGTGGTAAATGTAAATGATATTTTGAGATATCTGCAACAGCTGTAATATGGTATAAAAAATGTATAATTTCAGATAGACTCAAAGACACAAATAATGCTTTGTGGCCTATATTCATAATTGAGAAATGGCTAAATTTCTAGTACAAGTAAGTGAACCTACAGGTGTAATTCCCTACCCCTTCCAAATTCATGGATTTTTTTTTTTTGCTCTTCCTTTCAGACTCCTGGTGACTTTTGCCAGTTAACGTTCCATTGGCTCATGTCTTGTCTATCAGACACTTATTATATATATTAGGAATCTTAAGTTAATGTGATTTACACTTGGGATAATATGCTTACATTTTTAAAGTTTCAGAAGTTGTAAGTCCTTAAATCATCTAAGGGTGTTGATGTGATCCAAAGATGTCTATCCGTGGGCATCTGCTAGATCTCCTCAGATCCCAAGGCTATGTTAAAGTGTTAATGGACTTTAGGGCTAGGATCTGTCCAGGAAATCCTTGTTTTGCACGACATTATTTCAAATACTAAGTTTAAAGGGGCCCTTTTTCTATATTTAGCTAACAGATCCCAAATACAAATTTATATATAGATGTGGAAGGATGTGATATAAGGTTTCTTCGGGCACTAAAAAAATAATTTCAATTCCTATCATAAAAGCCAGCTTTAATAGTAGTTCATGAACATATACATGGGGGATAAAAATATCTTCAACAAATATACAAAGTATATTTGTATACAAAGTATACAGTGAACACTACAGGAGTTCAGAGACAGAAGGCATCATCACTGTGGGCTGGAGGAGCTGGGGGAAGGCCCCACATGGATAGTGAGATGTCTTGGGCGTAAATGTGGGATCAGATGGACAGAAGCAGGGAAGGCATTTCCAGTGAGGGCATTGGTATGAATTAGGCCTCGAAGCTTCGAGTAATGTAGGCTAGGCCCCAGGAGTGAATAATATATATGCCTCATGAAATTCCTTCTTAAGAACCAAAATGTTAAGCATTCAATAAAGTGAACCTTACAACTGTTCTACTTTGGTAATTAAGCATCCAAGTTTGGTGTTCATTCATGCCTATACGAGCATGTTTTCTTAATATATACCAGTTTCTGGTGTGAACGAAAATTGGAAGTCCCAATTTTCAGTTTCCTCACCATTTTGAATCTTTTGCCTTTAGCACCACCTGGTGGGAGCGTGCTTTTAAGGATAACAGCATCTGCTCAGAGTGTGTTTTGGTTGACTGTACTGAATTCATAATGTGTCTACCACATCTTTTATCTTTTCATAGGTTGCAAGTGCAAGGATTTCTCTGACAGGGATTTGGCTTTCCACAAATAGCATAGCTGGGGCCTTGGCTCCTCTCAGCCGTATATCTGTTTATTGTGTTCCTGACCCTTGTCAGGCGTTTTAACTTGAAGCAGTAATCCATTGTTTGTAAATGGGAGGGCACAGTGGTGCCAGTTTGTAGCTAATGCTAGATTGACAGGAACTTTGGATAATTTCCAGAGTTTCTGTCCAAGACTTTGCAGTTTAGGCTGCCTATTTTTTCTCTATCCTCTGACTTAGAAATAGAGCGGAAAAATTATAGTTGGAAGAGATCCTAGGAATCATCTGGCCCCCTGCCCACATTTTACAGGTGTTTAAGATTAAAAAGCAAGCAAACCATGAAAAAAAAATCCTTCTTTCTAAAAAAAGTGCCCGTGATAAATACCTTTTCTCACAAATGGGCGCTATTACTCAAGTCAAAAAGCAGGAACAGAGAAAACAGGCAGTGAACTAGGTATGGTGTTCTTTGCTTTTCCTCACTAAAACACTTTGGCAGCTCATCCCAAGTCCCAAGGCCGCCTCACTTCTCAGACTGGTAGCCTGGCAGCCTGTGCATTCAAAATGGGGAACTTTTTAAACTTGGGTTGGGAAGGTCTGACTTGACCCTGAGATTTGTAGTATGACCTTTTTTAAAGGATGTGGTCATGTGAGTGTTTGAGAGCAGCCCAAATTTTGGCTAAGTGGATCTTATTCTGCCTTAAGGAACTGATTAGTGTACGTTCCCAAAAGGGTAGGTTTTGAGGTGTTGTGTGTATAAAACATCACTTAAATGTGATCAGGGAGATGGGAGGGTGTTAGAGCGCAGTCAGGCACTTGGGTTCAGATATCTGTTCCCTTACTTATCCAGCTCTCTGATCCTGAGCAAATCACTTATCCTCCCCGAGACACCTTTTTTTTCAGTTCATAGTGTGGACAAGAGGATTAAGTAAGACAACATGTGAAAGCTCTTACTTTAATTCCTGGCGCACAGTAGTGGCTCAGGTCATTTCTTTCCCTTCTGGCTCCCTAGCACTAAGGAGGTTGAAGATTTTCCCAATCTGTGAGTAAATACCTATCTGTCTAAGATTGATTAAACAGATTTCCTGAGGCTACAGTAAGAGCATAAAGTCGGAGGTCCTTTTCTGGAGAGTATTTTCTGGAAAAATATTGTTCTATTTAGTATAGGCCTGCTTTAAAATAATGTGGTTTTAATTGGAGCGCTTGTATTAATTTTGGGTTCCTAGCTCAGAATCATAGGATGGGTTATCAAATTGTCCTAAAAAGGGACTATAGGGCATAAAAAGGTATATAAATTATTGTAGATGCTACATATTAGAATTCTTTATATATGCTAGGGATTAAAATAAAAATTGTCCTAAATAATAAAAGGAATTTAAAAATTTCATTTTAAAGATTTTTTTTCCCACGGTCTCCCATAAAAGGGAATTTATTAACTCATATTTAGGAAAGACTTGATTCTGTAATGCCACATTTGCCTCTCAGGATCTCATTTTTCTCATTCTTCCAGTGGGGTTCCCAGTGACTTCCTCCTTTACCTGTAGCTCCAGGCTTTCCTCTCAAGGTCATAAGATGACAATTGCACTTACATACCTCATTCTCTTATACCATCCAGGGGAAGAGGCCATCTCTCATGTCACTGCTACAGAAGAGAAAAAAGATCTCTTTATCAGAGGGTCTCACAGTGTACCTTCTGGCACTCACTGGCTGCATTTGGTTTATGTGCTCATTCCGGATCCACTAACTAGAACTGAGGGGTGGAAGGCCCTGATCGGCTGAGGCCAATCGAAGGCCATCCCCGGAGCAAGGATGGAGTTAATCATAACTAGACCCCATGGCTAAGAATGGGAGCTGAATGGTTTCCCATAGGACATTTGGGATTCTTGTTCCAAGAGGAGGGAAAGTTGTTAAGCGGCAAACCATGGTGATTTGCTTCAGTCATTAATTCAGATTTTGAGCTGTCACTTAATAAAAGCCTTTCGTTATGGCTGTAGGGATCATCCGTGTATCATGTGGACCGGAGGCTGCAGGAGAATTCCAGTTTTGGTGTTCCACGCTGAGGCTATTTTGACAAAGGACAACAATATTCGAGTAATTGGAGGTAGGTATGGCCTCCCCAATGGCGGGCAGGGCTGGGCCTGGCCCTGGTAACCTCGTCTTAAAGAAGTTGGTATCATATGTAAATAGGAAAAGGGCCTAGGTCATGAGAAAAAAAACAAATCTCGTGATTTTTTTTTTTTTTATATACTTTGGGATTATTTGGAATTTCTTAAATTTTCTGCATCTGAAATTGCTTTCCTTCTTTGAACTTTTTCTTCAGAATTATGTGCCTGTGTTACTGTTATTTTTCGTGGTAACAGACACAGAACAAAATGTGCCCTTTTAAACATTTTAGAGTGTACACTTCACTGGCGTTTAGTACAGTCTCTGTGTTGTACAACCCACACCACTGTCTAGTTCCAGAACATTTTCATCATCCTAAAGTCAACCCCATTTCCATTAAGCAGTCACTCCCTATGGTTCCTTACCCCAGCTCGTAGTAAACTGCTCATCTCCTTTCTGTCTCTTTCGATTTGCCTATTCTGGATATTTCTTACAAATGTACTCCTACAATATGTAGTCTTTTGTGTCTGGCTTTTTTCACTTAACAGAATGTTTGCAAGGTTCATCTGTGTTGTAGCATGTATCAGTACCTTGTTACTCTCATGGAGGGCCATGTTTTGTTTATCCATTCTTCAGTTGATCGTTTGGTGGTGGTTTCCACCTTTTGGCTATTGTGAATAGTGCTGCTCTGAAGATGCACGTATGTGTTTTTGTTTGAACTGTTTTCAATTCTTTTGGGTCTATGCCTAGGAATGGAATTGCTAGGTCTTATGGTAATTCTATGTTTAACTTATTAAAGGGCTGCTAAAGGATATTCTGTAGTGACTGCACAATCCTACATTCCCACCAACAATGTAGGAGAGTTCCATTTTCTCCACATCCTCACGGACATTTGTTATTTTCTGTTTTTTAGATTATAGCTTGACTAGTGGGTGTGAAGTGGTATCTTACTGTGGTTTTGATGTTCATTTCCCTGATGACTAATGACACCGAGCATCTTTTCATGTACTTCTTGGTCCTTTGCATATCTTATTTAGAGAAATGTCTGTTCAAGGCCTTTGCCTTTTTTTTTTTTTTTAAGTTGGCTCCATACCCAGTGTGGATCCCAATGTGGGTTTGAACTCATGATCCTGAGATCAAAACCTGAGTGAACCGAGATCAAGAGTAAATGAAGCAAGATGGGATTGGGAGGGAGATAAACCATAAGTGACTCTTAATCTCACAAAACAAACTGAGGGTTGCTGGGGGGAGGGGGTTGGGGGGGTTTATTATGGACATTGGGGAGGGTATGTGCTATGGTGAGTGCGGTGAAGTGTGTAAACCTGGCGATTCACAGACTTGTACCCCTGGGGGAAAAATATATGTTTATAAAAAATAAAAATAAAGTACTCATCTAAAAAAAAAAAAAAAGAGTTGGATGCTTAAGCAGCTGAGCCACCCAGCGCCCCCCCCCCCCCGCCGCCTTTGCCTCTTTTTGAATTGGGTTGCTTCACTTCTTGTTGTTGAGTTAGAAGAGTTCTTTATATATTCTAGATACTAGACCCTTATCAGATATTTGATTTCCAAATTCTTTTTCCTATTCTCTGGTTTGTCTTTTTATCTCTCTTTCTTTTTCTTTTTTTTTTTTCCAATTTGGTGGGGATGCACCATTCCTGAAGTACTGCAATACCAGGTTGTTCCGTGGAGTGGACCCAGCAAGCTCCTATTCCATCTCTTGGCTCCAAAAATCCATTTAATATATTGTCCTTGGACAGAGGACTTATCAGATATTAAACTGATAAGAACAGATACTACATATGATCTTAGCCAAAAGGCCAAGAAGCGATATGTCTTTTTATATCTTGATAGTGTTCTCTCATGAGCAAAAGTTTTTCATTTTGATGACGTGCAGTTTATCTATTTTTTCTTTTGTTGCTTATGCTTTTGGTGTCACATCTAAGGGAACCATTGCCTAATCCAAGGTTATAATCCCTATGCTTTCTGCTAAGAGTTTTATAGTTTAAGTGCTTACATTTGGAGCTAAATGGTCTTTGATCCATTTTGAGTTAATTTTCCTATATAGTATGAAACAAGGGTCCACCTTCATCTTTTGCATGTGAATATCCATTTGTCCCACTGTGATTAGTTGCAGAGACTGTTCTTTCCCTATTGAATAGTCTCGGCACTGTCATTGGAAATCAGCTGACTATGGATGTATGGGTTTATTTCTAGACTCTTAATATTCCATTTATCTTAACTTTATGCCAGTGCCACATTGTTTTGATTACTTTGTCTTTGTACTAAATTTTAAAATTGGGTTGTGTGAGTACTTTAACTTTATTCTCCTTTTTCAAGATTTTTTGGGTTATTCAGGATCCCTTGCAATTCCGTATTAATTTTAAGATCAGCTTTTCCATTTGTGCAAAAAGGCTGTTGGGATTGTGATGGGGAGCATATTGCCATCTTCGTATGAAGTCTTCTAGTCTGTAAACATGGGATGTCTTGTCATTTATTTAGGTCATCTTTAATTTCTTTAGCAATGTTTTCAGTGTACAAGTTTTAGAGTTCCTTGGTTAACTTTATTCCTAAATATTTTATTCTCTTTGATGCTATCATAAATGGAATTATTTTTTCAGTTCCATTTGGGATTGTTCATTGCCAGTGTGCATAAGTACAACCGATTTTTATAAGTTGATCTTGGATTCTGAAACCTCGCTGAACTCATTTATTAGCTCTGTGTGTGTGTGTGTGTGTGTGTGTGTATTCTTTAGCATTGTCTGTATATAAGATCATGTCATCTGCACATAGAGATTTTACTTCTTCCTTTCCAACCTGGATGTCTTTTGTTTCTTTTTCTTGCCTAATTGCTCTGGCTAGAATTTCAAGTACAATGTCAAATAGACATTGTAAAAGTGGGTATCTTTCTCTTTCTTGTTTTTGATCTGAGGGGGAAAGCTTTCAGTCTTTCACCGTTCAATATATTAGCTATGGATTTTCATGAATGCCCTTTATCATGTTCAGGAATTTTCCTTCTATTCCTTTATTTGTTGTTGTTGTTGTTGTTGTTGTTGTTTTTTTTTTTTTTTATCATGCAGGGGTATTGGATTTTGTTAAATGCTTTCTCTGCATTAATTTAGATTTTTTTTTTCTTCGTTCTATTAAGGTGGCGTATTACATTGATTGACTTTTGTATGTTGAACCATACATACATTCCTGAGATAAATCCCACTTGGTCATGGTATAATCCTTTAAATATGCTGCTTGATTTGGTTTGCTGTTATTTTGTTGAGGATATTTGCATCTGTACTCATAAGGGATTTTGATCTGTAGTTTTCTTGTGATAGCTATCTGGATTTGGTATCAGAGTAATGCTGGCCATATAATGTGTTCCCTCCTCTTCTTTGGAAGAACTTGAGAAGGATTGGTGTTGATTTTTTAACTGTTTGATAGAATTCACCAGTGAATCCATATAGTCTGGGCTTTTCTTTATTGGGAGGTTTTTGATTACTGATTCAAACTCTACTTGCTATGTGTCTATTCATATTTTATATTTTGTATTGATGCAGTTTTGGTAGTTTGTGTGTTTTTAGTTTTTGTGTTTATCTAATTTGTTGGCATACAGTTATTCTTAGTATCTTTTTATTTGTTTTTTTTCATAGTATTCTTTTTTTTTTTTAAAGATTTTATTTATTTATTTGACAAACAGAAATCACAAGTAGGCAGAGAGGCAGGCAGAGAGAGAGGAGGAAGCAGGCTTCCTGCTGAGCAGAGAGCCCAATGCGGGGCTTGATCCCAGGACCCTGAGATCATGACCTGAGCCGAAGGCAGAGGCTTTAACCCACTGAGCCACCCAGGCACCCCTTCATAGTATTCTTTTGTAATCCTTTTTATTTCTGTAAGATCAGTTGTAATGTCCCCATTCACTTCTGATTTTAGTCATTTGAATCTTTCCCCTTTTTTTCTTAGTCTAAAGGTTTGTCAATTTTGATAATTTTAAAGAGACAACGTTTACTTTTGCTTATTTTCTCTATTGTTCTATTCTCAATTTCATTTATCTCTACTCCTCTTTGATATTAAGCAGTGCTCTGAATTCTGGGGTTAGCCTGTAGCTGTCTTCAGAGGTTACAGAACTCTGAACACTGTCAGAACTGGATCAGAACTGTTGTGTGATACAGTGGAAAGAGTCTTACATGGGTTGTCAGTCACTGGTTCAAATCCCGCTTTGGCATTTACTAGCTGTAAGTCTGGGGCAAATCACTTAAACTCTCTCAACCTGTTTTAGTATTAGTTAGGTGGAGATAATAGCTACCTTATAGGCATTGTTTATGAAGAATTAATGAGATCATTCAATATTTGGCACATAGTAGGCGCTCACAATTTGTGCTATTTACTTGTTGAATAGGATCTGTTCTACTTTGATATGACTTTAAAGTCTGTTCTTGCCCCACAATAAGCCAGGAGTTCAGAGGACAGTGAACACCTGCTTCTGGGATTTGAGCCCTCCCTCCCCAAAGGGTCCTGTTCTAATCCCTTTAGCAAGTTGCTAGGTTACCACTTAAAGGGATAGGTTCACTCATATTTTCTGAATTTGGAGGAACTGATGATTTTGCTAACATTGCAAAGAAACTCCCTCTCAATATGATTGGAGTCAAACATCAAAGGTAGGTAAAACAACAGAAGTAAATAATCTCCCCCAAACATACATGTTTTAGTCTGCTTTTCACGTAAATGAATCTCTGTATTCTGTGGCAATAAACAGGCCCTTCTTTTTTAGAATAGCTAGCATTTATTGGAAATCAGTATTCATCAGTGTTGTCATCTAGTTTTTCAAGCAATTCCTGTGTTTTTAGAACTTAAATGTCTTTTTCTTTCCCTTGACACAATCTTGTGATTAAAGAAAAAGCCACTGTACTTTTTTTTCAAACTTTGTTTTCAGATTTTCTGTATCTTTCCCATTCTTTGTGGTTTCATGATTTTCTAAACCTCCTTTATGAAAAGAACAATTTTTAAAAAAGATTT